CTGATCTCATTGTAATGAAGTTCAGAAAATATAATACAATCAGTTCTCATCAGTGATATAAAATACACAAAATTGTTCCTTAAAACTGAGTTAGATTATTTGTATGTTTACTAATTCATATCGCATTTAATAGTCAACAAAGTGAAGTAGATTAGTAGTATGGTTACTGATTTACATACCATTTACTTGTCAAACACAGTAAATAATGTTATTGGTCTGAATAATGTTATTGGTCTGTTTACATATATATAAACAGTTATATTGCTATACATTTACATTTTTATTCTGTTATATATTAATAGAGTGAATTGAATTATTATTTTTTGTGAACTTTTTATTATAACATGTACTAACTAGAGATGGCAACGGGGCGGGGCGGGGCGGGGGCGGGGAGTATGCTCCCCGTCCCCGTCCCCGTCTCCGTCCCCGGCGGGGAATTAAAAATATTTTTCATCCCCGTCCCCGCGAAAAATTAGGCGGGGACGGGGATTCCCCATTCCCCATCAACTTCTAGTTAAAATGTTAAATAATTTTAAATTTAATAATAAAAATTTTAAAATATCAGTCCTAATTTTAAAAATTAAAATACTATCTATATATATAGTTAATTACATATACAAATATAGTGTACTGTTAGTATAATTACATATAAATGCAATACTGCCACTATATATATATGTACTATATTTATATATGTAATTATACTAACAGTACACTAACAGTGTATTATATTTATATATGTAATTATATATATATATATATATATATATATATATAATTACATATATAAATATAATACACTGTTAGTGTACTGTTAGTATAATTACATATATAAATATAGTACATATATATATAGTGGCAGTATTGCATTTATATGTAATTATACTAACAGTGTATTATATTTATATATGTAATTATATATATATATATATATATATATATATATATATATATATATATATATATATATATATATATATATATATATATATATATATATAGAGAGAGAGAGAGAGAGAGGGGGGACGGGGCGGGGCGGGGAGGGGTGTCCCCATCCCCGTCCCCGTCCCCGGCGGGGAATCTCAAATGTTCCCCGTTCCCCGAAAATCTTCTCCATTCCCGTCTCTTTTAGGGCGGGAATCAGGGATTCCTGTCGGGGACGGGGCACATTGTCATCCCTAGTACTAACCAAAAAACACTTGGCAATTGATGATATTAAAATGTGATGTTATATACTTTGTGGTACACAGATTTAGAAGAGTAATTTAAGATAACTCTCTAAAGTTGATAACTTTGTAAAATGACGTGCATATTTAATGACTCATTTGTCCCCGGTAAGGAGTTTGACAATGTTTAATGTTTTTCAGAGTTATAGAGTCAAATGTAAGTCTATATGATGTTTTTATTATTTTGTAATTTGTATTTGTATTTGTATTTTTAGTAATCATAATTGGGTATAAAGAGACTACTGCACATTTTGGCTTTCTTTGGCAGAACTTATTTAACAGCTTATATCTCATTTTAAACTACTAATAAATTATAAGTTTTGTTTGATAATGTTTCAAAAATAAGTTAGTAGCTTCAGAACTTTATGATATTCTTTACCTTCTCAATTAAAATCCTTTTGGCATTTTTTATTCTCCTATTTTTGTATTAGTTGCACAACTCCATCACAATCAAGCATCCTCCTTATCTGAACAACTGGAACCACTTGAGTTGTTACAAAATGAGCTCAATGAAGTTATTTATACTTATTTAACCTCCTCAACGGACAGTGGGGATCTACTTATCGTATGACTATAATTATATTCCTAAAATTTCTCCTAAAATTCTATACAATCATGAGTTCTATAATGTTTTATAAGATTTTATAAATCTCTACACTTCTTTTATATTTATATATATATATATATATATATATATATATATATATATATATATATATATATATATATTTCAAATGCGGCCAGGGTTTAGGTTCGGCGGAATTTCAAAATACACCAACAGTGTAAGGGAAACACACCACAATGAAATGCAAAAAAAAACAAAAAAAAAACAAAAAAAAAAACAAAAAAAAAAAAAAAACAAAAAAACAAAAAATACATAACAGAACCAAAAAAAAAAAAAAAAAATACACCATATAACTCACCACCCCAATGGTGTATTTCTGAACACTGTATGGTATTTTTACTCACACCTAATGGTGTGTTTTGGTGATGCGTACCTAATTTGTGTGTGTTTTTGTATGTATATATGTATATATAGTACACGTGTTAGTATTAGTAAAATAAAACTATTAAATGTCAACAAGAGTTGATTTATATGATTTGGTTGAGCACATATTGAGTCTTTTTAAAGAATAGTGGTTTGAATCTTGGTACTAACACAGTTTGATAATTGGCTTCAACAGTTTTTTTTTTTTTTACTCCTTCCCTATGATTTCAATACAGTCACGTTTTTAATAGCTTTTTAATATTTAATGCACACACATATATATAACATTCTTTTATATTAATAACGAGATGTGTTTTTTTTTTTTTTAAATTATCTCTTTTGTTTTAAGGTTTCGGCTTTACTGAAAAAAAATTCTAAATCCGTCCCTACTTCTTCGCCCCCCACCGAATTTCTGGCTCCGTATATATATATATATATATATATATATATATATATATATATAGAGGCTCTAGATTCAATGAGATCACCTAATAACATATTAACGTTATGTCCAGTTTGACTTTGCAGGTTGAAACATATTACCACCCAACATGGATTCAAGTAGGTGCAGAAACAGAACTCTACTTTAAATATGTAGTACTCTGATCTATTTTAGTTCTCATAACATTTGTCTCTAATATTTGTATACTCTTTCTTCATGACTAACCATTTTTATATATTATGTTTTACTAAGATGTCCAAGTTGCCTGTGCAGGTTGCAAAGTATTAGCAGATAACATGTCCTTTATGAACTTGCAAACTTGCAGATAATAAAAATTCCATAAGGATGTAGTGCACATAAAAATTCGGGAGATTCGACTGAAGATGACGTAAGGTATGCAAATTCTTTACTTAATGTTATGATATGACAAGTTATATAATTACAATTTAAGAATTACTTGGGCCTGAAAAGTGAAAACCAATGCATAATTCTAATACTTTACATTTTTTGAAGTTAAAAGTGGAACAAGTTAAGTAACTAATAATTTCTCCACTTAATAATCTAAACGTATTCTTTTTACCTGGATATATTAAGTAAACATAAAGTCGTGTTGAACTTACATTGTCTTGTACATAGTTCGTTAAATTAGGCATTAAAAGTTAAATTGATTTAAATTAAGAGTTAATTCCAGCAATGGTCCCCTGAGTATGATGATTTTCCAGATTTGGTCCCCGTCTTTTAATTTGGACAATTTAACCACCCGTCTATTTAATTCTTTCCAATTGAGGTCCTTCCATCAAATGGGTGTTATTTCAGCGTCAATTTCAGGGGCATTTTGGTACATTTACTTGCTATGCTGTACTCCTTAATAGGTCAAATAAAATTTAAAAATACCCATCTTATACTTGCTGTGCGTATGTGTCGCTTAGATAGTCTGAAATACCCAATTTATTTGCCCAACCCTAATCGCAGGAGCTGAGAAGTAAGCAAGCAAGCTATGTAATGAAAATCCCCAAATTTCCCCATCTTAAACCATAATCGCAGTCTAGCGTTGAAGCTTGGGAGAGAACGAACGAAGAACACTGATGGAATCGAGAGGGAAGCAAGCTAGCGTTGGTTGCAACTCTGCTCCAGCAGGTAAGTTTGGTTCCCTTTATGGTGTAGGAGAACGAAATGGTACATGTGGGGTCCGAATGTCTGTGTTGTGTTGTTTAGTATATACTTTCACTCCTTTCTGTGTTGTGTGTTGTATATTGTGCTTAGTATAGGTACATGTGGGGACCTTTTTGTGGTTGAAAATGGTGTGTGGACCAATGTTTGTCTGATTATGCATATGTTGGGGACCATAGTTGTTGTTTTTTTTCTAAAGCCTTTACTGTAAAGTAGTGTATTGTGTACTTCCATGTTGTGTGCATTACAGTGGACCATTATATGTTGTATAAAGTGCTTTGGAAATTTGAATCATTGATCTCAGGGATTTTTACTCTTAAACTAAGACATGGGGGAATGATAAGTCAAGATTTACCAGCTAAATATTTAGGAGGCAGTGTTAGTGTATTTAATGATATGGTAGAAGATGAGTGGGGGTTAATTTGTTTAAAGGAGAAGGTTGGGGAGATTGGTTATGCAATGGATGATACTTTAAGGTACTTCATGGCCACAGAAATGGGGTTGCAAGAATTGGTTAAAGACTTTGAGTTGTGGAATTTACTTAACCAATGTTGTAGTCCTAAGGTCTTAGAAATCTGGATGGTAAAAGGAGTGATTGGTGATGATGCAGATGTTGGCAGTGCAGATGTTGGCAGTGCAAATGAAGAGGAGTATGATGGCAGTGGGTCTGAGTGGTGTGGCAGTGGGGATGAATTGGATTGTACTGATGAGGAATACAATTCAGATGAGTTAGAGGATATAAGTGTGCATGATGATGAAGAATTTGTCAAGAATATAGATATTACTGCAGAGTTTGGAGGCTTAGGTGATGTAGAACCCCAACTCCCACAACCCATACAACCCCCACCAGTAGATGATATTGTCAACTACTCTGATGAAGGGAACATGGTAGGCAGTGATGGTGAGGGTATAGGGATCAAATGGCAAAAGTTTTTGAAAGAATCTGAACGTACTTGTCCTAAATTTGAATTGGGACTGACCTTTAAAGATAAACGGGAGTTTAGAGAGCTATAACAAATTATGCAATCAAGGAGGGGAAAGAAATGAAATATCACAAAAATGACAAAGTTAGATGTGTGGTGAAGTGTAAGCATGAAAGTTGTCCTTGGCAGGTTACCCTTAGTTAGTGGTGAAGGACAAACATGATGGCTGTATAAGGACTCAGAATAATTCAATGGTCAATTCCTCTATTGTTGCTAAGAGATGGAAACAGCAAATTAGAGGAAATATGGAATGGAAAACTAATTCATTTTTAGAAAAAGTCCTAACTGATGACCATTACATTCTGAGTAAGAAGCAAGCATGGAGGGCTTTAGTGAAAGCAAAAGGTGAAATTAAACATGAAGCAGAAGATTACTTCAATAAGATTTGGAGCTATGCCTTGGAAATAAAAAAAACAAATCCAAACTATACTTGTGAAGTGAAGTTGAGTGACCTTAAAGAAAAAGGAAAAGAGAGATTTTTAAGGATGTATATCTGTTGGGAAGTTACAAGGGAAGGATTTAAGCACTGCAGGAAAATCATTGGCCTAGATGGGTGTCACTTGAAGTGTAAAACTGGAGGAGTATTGTTGACAGCAGTTGGAATAGATGCAAATGAAAGTTTATTCCCAATTGCCTATGCAGTTGTAGAAGGTGAGAACAAAGACTTTTGGACTTGGTTTCTACAGTTTCTAAAGAAAGACTTGAAGCTTGGTCCCTTAGTACAAAGTCAGTACACACTAATGTTAGACAAGCAAAAGGGTCTCATACAAGCTTGTGAAAGTACCTTACAAGGAGTTAGGCATAGATTTTGTGTCAGGCACTTGCACAATAACATGAGGGTGGCTGGTTTCACTGCCAATGCTATAAAGGATGCCTTGTGGAAAGCAGCAAGAGCCACTACTGTGAATAACTTTTCAACAGCACTACTTGAGTTAAGAAAATTGGATGAAAATGCTTATGTTTGGCTTGGTGATAAGCACCCATCTGAGTGGTCAAGATCCCACTTCAATACAGCTGCCAATTGTGACATCCTAGTGAATAACATCTCAGAATCATTCAATGCAATGATCTTGACAGCAAGGGAAAGTCCTGTTATTAATTGCTTGGAGATAATTAGGAAAAAGATCATGCTAAGGCTATTTGAGTCAAGGACTAAAGTTGATGAATGGACTGGAGTACTCTGTCCAAGTATTGTGAAAAAAATTGATGACATTGAGATAGCTGCAGGTGGAATGATTTGCTATCAGTGTGCTCCCATGTTGTTTGAGATAATTGGGACACATTCTGGGCAGTATACTGTTGATCTAGGTAGAAGATCTTGTTCCTGTAGGAGATGGGACCTAACTGGAATCCCTTGCCCCCATGCTGTGTGTGCAATATGGAAGAAAAATGGGAAATGACCTATTTGGCATTATGTGGATCCTTGCTACTCTATATCTACTTACTGCCAAACATATGATGGGTGTATAAAACCAATGTCTGGTCATGAAGAGTGGCCTGCAACAAGTAGACCACCTCCTTTGCCACCACTGTATACTGCAAGGGCTGGAAGGCCTAGAAGGTTGAGGATGAAGTCTGCTGGAGAGATAAGCAAATGTGGGCAGTATTTGTCTAGGAGCCTTGTTACTTTACATTGCACCAAATGCAAAGAATTGGGTCATAACCAAAGAAAGTGTCCAAAATACCCAGTTGCCAGGCCTGCCAATCAGGTTACATACTTTCACATTTGACTTTAAATTTGTCAATAACTGGCTGTGTTAAACTGGTTGTGTTAAATAACATAATCAATTTGCAGGTTAAAAGAAGAAAATCAAGTGTTAGGTCAACAAAAGGAGTACATGTTGCTGCTCAGCCTGAAGTCCATGATGCAGATGCAGCTCAGCCTGAAGTCCATGATGCTGCTCAGCTTGAAGTCCATGATGCTGCTCAGCCTGAAGTCCATGATGCTGCTCAGCCTGAAGTCCAACCTGATGTAATTACTCAACCTGAAATTCAAGAGACTCAATGGGAGATTCCAGATGAGATATTGGATGAGCAATGGCACCAAATCCAAATTGAGGCAGAGGACATTGTTAGAGGTATGTTATACTGCTTATCCATGTGCCATCTAAATGCAAATATTTGACTCTTATGTATTGTAAGACCTTCACTAAGTTCCAGTCTGTCCATTCCAGTCATTGTTGTGGGAGATTCAATGCAAGCAAATGTGCCTTGTAAGTTATACAACCAGTCCATTCATGTGCAATTATAATGTCAAAACACAACTTATAATTTCATCTAATATATTACTATGTGCAGATCAACAACACAATAAGACTGATGGAAACCACCAAGTAACGGGAAAAAGAAAAGGTCAAACTGATGGAACTAAGTCTACTAGGAAGAAATTACCAATCAAGAAGCATCGTACAAGATCATCAACCACATTCAAGTCTAAATTTTATGGGAATGACAAAGATCCAATCACTTTGGATTAAGGGAACTACTAGTTACTGCTTTTTTGGATTAGTGACTTTTATGAATTGTTAGGTCACTATTTGGCATGTGTTAATGTTGGCTTAGACAATTGTCTTTTGATCTGTAATGGGATTTATATGCCAATTATGATGTGTTTTGGGGTCTACAGACCTTTAGATATGTAATGGGATCTATCTACTATCTTTTGAAATACATTTGTAATGATCTTATTTATATGATATTTTTGTTATAAATGGTATTTGGCCTTCAGATTGCAGTATGCAGTGTGCTAATATGGTATGCATTATGCATTGTCAGAAGCAGTTTATGGCAAAAAACCATAACTCAATTTTCATTGCATTGTGCTTAGACTTACAATTGTCAAATAACAAATACAATTCTTTAATATGCAGAACTACTACCTAACATAAGGTTATTCTTTCCTCTACCGACCTTCGCAACTATAACTGCAAATAACACAATGCATACTGCTATAACTACACATATCCTAATACCCTTGCCATGTCCACAGTTGCTTCTTTTGACACCAACATTAGTTTGTAGCCTCATTTTTAGCAGTGCAATCTCTTCTTCATCTCGATTGATCCTTCTCAATAAACCAGGAATAATTCTTCTTGACCTTGCGCACATTGGAGGGTCATGCCACCTAACAAAACCACACCTTTGACCTCCCTGCACCAAAAGCTGATAAATACATATCAATTTGAATTCATTTGCCTTACTTAACAGACATTGTGCCTTCAAATAAGATATTGACAGTATTGCTCGAAGGAAAAACAATACATTCACACTCAAATTTTTGAATTTTTTTTTTGTTTCAACTACAACAAGAACCCTTAACTATAATGAAAGCACTCACATTTTCAATAGAACATTGCCAATATCTTCTGCCGGGATTATCATTTGTCCAAGATGTTTGAAGCTTCAGACGTTGCCCACACTCACAATTTGGAATGGAAACCAACTCACCATATATGTATTCCTGCATTCTTGAAGATGAAGAGCTCTCACTGCTATATCTTCTAGCCATCTCACTGCTAATTCGCTGGAAGGAAAAGGAAGTTGAACTCGGATGTGGGCTTCGATGAGAAAGATGACTTCGGACTGCTAGGGCTTCGATGAGGAAGATGAATTCCGACTGCAAGGGCTTCGATTAGGAAGATCAAATCGGACGTCTAGGGCTTCGATGAGGAAGATGTAGTCGGACCTCTAAGGGAGTCGATGAGGAAGACTTCGGACTTCTAAGGGCTTCGATTAGTATTTATTCCAGTATATTTGTCGTATTAAGGAGTACAAATACACATAGCAAGTAAATGTACCAAAATGTCCCTGAAATTGACGCTGACATAACACCCATTTAACGGAAGGACCTTAATTGGAAAGAATTAAATAGACGGGTGGTTAAATTGTCCAAATTAAAAGACGGGGACCAAATCTAGAAAATCATCATACTCGGGGGTCCATTGCTGGAATTAACTCTTAAATTAATTTAACTCGAATGTTGATGTATAACCTGAAACAAGTTAAGTTTAAGAATAACAAATAAACATCAAAATTAAGTGTAGTAAATTTAATTTTATTATATAAAGTTACGTAACTTTATACCGATAGTAAATTTTATACGACACTCTTAGATTAGTAAACTGAACAATTAGATTGCTCAATTAAGTGAAAATCTACTTCTAATACACGCACCAATCTACTCCCACAATGGATAGAGGTTTCATAGATTCCATAGTGTATCTTCATAGTGTCTAAATACAGAAACCACTTGATGGATAGATAGTGTTGGTGTGATATGATTTTCCTCAATTTACCTGCAAAAAAAAAAAAAAAAAAAAAAGATGCATTGCAATAATGGTTATAGAGCAATAGTATTTAAAATAGTAGCTTTTTACTATGTATGTCTTCATTGTGTTTAATCTGATTTACATTGCATATACTTGCATATTTAAATGTCAACAGAGTCTGTTAGATTATTTGTATATTTGTATCTAATTTAATTATCAATACAATGTTCTATATATCTTCACTAGTAATTCACCCGCGCAATGCACGGGGAAAAAATTATGTTATTATAAATATAAATAAAAAAATAGAAAAAATAAAAATATTTTAAATTGTTTAATATAATAAAATTTTTGAGCTTCCATTGGTCAAGTATTTATTATTTTTATAGAATACAAAATTATAATTAAAATTTTGTATGGTTAATATAATTTCTAATTATGTACATATTCAAATAAACTTATAGAGAGAATTTACATAATTACATTGATTTATTCTTAATTGTATTTCATCTATATTATAATTTTTACAATATACGAATAATAACTAAGATAATTACATTTAGAAAGCAAATTTCAAATTTTGTATGAGTAAATTTAAACTTTAATTGAACACATTTTTTTATATGATTATATAATATATTCTTTATGCACATGGCATTCCATAAACTCAAATGTCATTTTATAAGTCCAAGACCACTTTTTGTGGAGATAATTCAAATGTATTTTTTTTCTTTTAAAAGTCCTAAGTTTAGACATCCAGAAAAACATTAAAGACCCATACGATATATACATTTATATATATTTAAATTTTTATTTATGGCTTAAATAATTTTTTTTTTAATTCTGAAGTCAAATAATTGACCCACGGCCCGCAACATTTGCTTTCTTCATTCCTTCTTGCTTCTGCCATTTCTTTGAAGCATTTGAGATGGAGAAAAATTATATGTAGAGGCTTGCATTAATTGCACTGTTTCAGATATTGAATAGGCTTTCATCGAAAATTTAATTAAAATTGTAATCCTAAGAACCACCATAAATAACAAAAGCATATCAAATAGACTTTCACTGTAAAGCCAGAGATTTAACTAATATTGCATCGTTTCATATTTTCTATTAATCGGGAATCGAAATCCTTAATCCTAATATCATAACATTTAATAACTCCATTAATTCAATAAATGTAATCCTTTGTTATGGGCGAGAAAAAAAATAGCTATTTTATTTTTCAAATGTTGTGCTTTTTTTTTTATTATTATTATTATTATTATTATTATTATTATTATTATTATTATTATTATTATTATTATTATTATTATTATTATAGTAAAAGGTGTTGTGGCTATTTTATATTTATAGCTAGTAATAATAATAATGTTGGTAATTAATTGTAACATTAATTATTTCCCAACCATATAGCTTTATTATATGTAAGATTTATATGCAGTTATATATGAACAAAGTGAACTGATTTATTTTCTCTTGATAAACTGTTTATTTATTAAAACACATACTAACTGTGAAACACTTGGCAAATGATGATATTAAAATCTGATGCTATATACTTTGCTATTAAACAAATTTAGAAGAGTAATATAAAATACCTCTCTAAATTGATAAATTTCTGAAATGGTATGCAGATTTAATTCCCCATTTGTGGATTCCTCAAATCCGTTTCCATAACTCAAGCTAGAGATTGAAGCAATACTCCTCATCCGAATTTGTTTATCATGCAGATTTAACAGACATAGTTAGATAGGAAAATTAGTACATACTAAAAAAAAGATATTAAATAAAAGATAATTAAGAATCTAACCAATAGCCATTCTCTGGGTCTATAAACATTAGAGAACATACATTTCCCTAAATTCCAAAAACTCAGGAGATTCCTAATTAAACGGTACTTGGATAACGTCATAGGAACGGCAGATTTTGACCTCACCGACTATATATGTTTAAATTAGTTAGTACTTTAAATTATAAAATGAGTTAATACCACAAATGGTCCTCTGACCCATATTTATTTTGTAGAAGGTTCCAAATTGATTTCGCATACCTGTGTTTGGAGAAGATGTCAAAGGCCGAGTCGATCATATTTTGGAGCAGTGTTGCACGTACGTATTTATTGTCTTTGT